CAACAGCTTGAAGAGAAAGGTATGAATGAGTGAAAGATCGTCAGAGTACCGTGAAGGAATTCTTTTTCATTCATTTCATTTTTACGTTTCTCAAAATCAACAATGCAAAAATGGCTTTAACACTTATGCATGTATCATCTTCAGGCTTCCTTATAGTTATCCGCATCGTTATTATTCCTTTTTTTTTTGTCTTTTCTATAGTCTTTATTAGCATCGTTATTAGTGGCATTATCATCACTTATTACTTAAATTACTTCCATGATTAGTGTTGTCATTATTAGCATTATTATCATTATTTTGATAATCATCATTACGATAATGATGATGATGATGATGATGATGATAATTAGTAGTAGCATCAGAATTCATATTAGTATTGATTCTATAATCATTGTTATCCTCATTATTATTGTTATCATTATTTTCATTATTATTATTATTATCATTATTATTATTATTATCATCATTATTACTATCATTATTATCAATTTTATTATTATTATTATCATCATTATTTATCATCATTATTATCATTATTATTATTATCATCATTATCATTATTATCATTATCATTATCGTTATTACCATCATTTTCTAATATCATTATTACTGTTATTGTTATTATTATTATTATTATTATTATTGTCATTATGATTATTATCATCATTATTTTTACTATTATTATCATTATTATCATAATTATTATTATCATCATCATCCTCATCTTCATCTTCATCATGCTCATTATCATTAATATCATTATCATTATCATTATTATCATTCTTTATTATTATTATTGTTATTATTATTATCATTATTATTATTTTCATTATTATCATTATTATCATCATCATTATCATTATTATCATCATCATTATCATTATTACCATTATTATTTTATTGCTATTATTAATATTATTTTCTATTCCTATTATCAACATCATCATCATCATCATTACTATCATTGGTATTAGTGTTATAATTATCATTATTATCATTATCATTATCATTGCCATCCTTCTTTTTGGTATTATTCTTTAGTTATGATTATCATTGATATCATAGTCATTATCATCAATGTTATCATTATCATTTTCATTATTGTTATTGATGATGATGATGATAACAAAATTATCACCATAGATTAATCACTGTGCTTTTCAATCGGTCTTCTACTAACGAATTATTGTAAGGATTTTAGCCGCTATAGACGATTTCTCATCCATTAATGACTCTTTTTTTCTTTTATTCACACAGAACTGCACACTTTACCCCCTCTCTCGAAGCTCTCTTATCGCCCCCTTTGCCCAACCCATTTCCTCTTTCAACAAAGATCTTCCTTTCTAATCATTTCGAAATTTCTCCCTTCTCATCCGGGCCGAATTCATCTACTTTGTCCACGTGTGCATTTTATTTTTGCATTTTAATTTTATTTTGCATTTTATTTTGCATTTTATTTTGCATTTATTTTTTATTTTTGCATTTATTTTTTTTATTTTTGAATTTATTTTTGCATTTTATTTTTGCATTTTATTTTTGCATTTTATTTTTGAATTTTATTTTTGAATTTTATTTTTGCATTTTATTCTTGCATTTTATTTTTTTTATTTTTTTTTTTATTTTTGCATTTTATTCTTGCATTTTATTTTTGCATTTTATTTTTGCATTTTATTTTTGCATTTTATTTTACACTGTATCACCACATAAGGGTCTGGGTGTGAAGTGGAGAGAATTCAGTGTAGTTTTGGGAGGTGGAGAGATCAGAGACGGCGAAAGTGTGTAAGAAAATAGTTTACACTGTGTCTCATCACCTCGCGAGAATGTTTTTTCTTCAATATAAACATACTACAAGCCTACACAAAGTTACAAGGAGTCACGGTGGCTGAGGCGGGGTGGTATTTTCAGCCAATGACCTATTTGTAAAAGAAAAAAAAATCAAGTTTATAATATTCTTTAATTTCTTAAGATAGATATATATCTGATCTTCGGACACGTGCTTGTTTATTTGCATTTTGAAGAATATAGAAAAAAAAATATATAAAATTGTCATTCATCCTGTGATTAATCCTATTAATATCAGCATTAGATCCTCAATATCAGCGCTATGACCTTAATATTAGTTTTATATCCTGAATCTCAGCGTTATAGCCGTAATCTCAGCTTTATATCTTAACATCAGATATCCTTAATATCAGCTTTATATCCTTAACATCAGCTTTAGCTTTATATCCTTAACATCAGCTTTATATCCTTAGCTTTATATAACATCAGCTTTATATCCTTAACATCAGCTTTAGCTTTATATCCTTAACATCAGCTTTATATCCTTAACATCAGCTTTATATCCTTAGTATGAGCGTTATCTCAGCGTAATGCCTATCTGTTGCCTATAACCCTTTACCCTTCCCATCTCTCCTTTACCCTTCCCATCTCTCCTTTCACTGGCCTGGAGTCTGCAGCTGCGATAACATTACAGACTCGCAAGTGTTTCCGTAGATATTCGGAGAAATAGTGACTATCGCGATTATTTGGAAAATATGGAGAACCGGCATCCTTATTCGGCAGTTTGGAGTGACTGAACGAGACGACCGTTGAATTACGTAACGTTGAGGGCATGGAAGGACATATTATTGCGCTCATGTTGTTTCATCGTTTTTTTTTTTGTTTTGTTTTTTGTAAATCTTTCGTTCACTCCTGAAACATCCGGGGCGGCATCTGCACCCGGAGAACAAATGCGAAAGTTCTGAGAGCTGAAGGAGAGAGTCCCGGCAGGTAATGAAGGAGAGAGAGGTAAGAAGGAGAGAGTCCCGGCAGGTAATGAAGGAGAGAGTCCCGGCAGGTAATGAAGGAGAGAGTCCCGGCAGGTAATGAAGGAGAGAGTCCCGGCAGGTAATGAAGGAGAGAGTCCCGGCAGGTAATGAAGGAGAGAGTCCCGGCAGGTAATGAAGGAGAGAGTCCCGGCAGGTAATGAAGGAGAGAGTCCCGGCAGGTAATGAAGGAGAGAGTACCGGCAGGTAATGAAGGAGAGAGAGAAGGAGAGAGTCCCAGCAGAGAGTAGGAAGGAGAGAGTCCCGAGCCCGGCAGGTGAAGTAGGCCCGGCAGGTAATGAAGGAGGGAGTCCCGGCAGGTAATGAAGGAGAGAGTCCCGGCAGGTAATGAGCGAGAGAGAGAGTCCGGGACCTTGTGTATGCGAGAGGACTCCGCCCTTCGGTATTTACCCGCTGTGATGACATCTTCCTGTTGAACATCCTAGCCCGGCGTGAAAACCGGACCCGAACATGTGTGTGTGTGTTTGTGTGTGTGTGCGTTGTTTATACACCGCCCTCGCCAGCCACAAAGCACATACAAACCCCTTGGTGTCCAAGTTCTAAAAGCTTTTGGTTCGTGAATTTTCTGTCTACGCCATGCACTGCTCTGAGATAAAATGTTTTTTTTTTTTATCTCCATTTAGAAATGATTTATATTTCGGATAGCTTTTATTTAATTATTTATTTATCTCTTACGGGCGGTTTTATTGGTCAGTTCGAGTAGGTCAGAAAAAGCTTTCGATTTATGAGATCTGTCCGCTTCTACCTATGTAAATAAACAAGCGCAAGGCACTCCGTCCTCACATTAGGAACCCAAAACACATTTAAAATAACACACAGGCCCAAGGTTATAACGCAGATGTACGTGTTCGACCCTGATATTGTATTCCCAAGCCCGTGTCGCCACGGCTTCCTGCTCATGACGTTATAGTGACACGGAAACAGAACAACAATCGGGAAACGCAGGCCATTGTTGTTGATCCCGCCGGCGCCTCCTCTTCGCCATTTTCATTGCCATCACGGCGTCAAGCAGGTGGCTCTGCCCGGTGACGTCACACTGCCGGCGACCCATGGCGATGTTTACACTTGCTGTCCCAAACAGGAGAACTCTCTGGAACATTAGTCATGCTACTCTCCCACACACTATTTTTGCGGTGCTAAGGTCTACGGGCATACTATGTGTATACTATGAAGATAAATGCGTTTATGGAAAAAAGAATACAGATACGAAGGTTTTTATTATTGTTTATTTTTATCCATTATATTCCTATTCTTAACTTTATCTATGATGTTCTTATTCTTTTTATATTTTTATTCTTAACTTTATTATATTCTTATTCTTAACTTTATCTAATACATTCATATTCTTATTTATCTTTCATTCATATATTTCTTCACTTTCTTTATTTATTCATCTTTCGAAGAGATAATATTGTATGTGAAACGCGCGCATACACAGGTAAAACCGATGCACTGTTCCCTAAATTTTTTAACCGGGACTTCCAGGCTTCGCAGCTTCTTCCCTGGCGCAGAAGACGCAACTGCAAGCGCACCTGGAGCACCTCGACGGCGTGAGGAACCCCATGGCACCGTCCGACGAACCGCGCTTGGAGGCCCGACGCTATATCAAGGACAAATTCCGCGAACTCGGCCTCCAGGTTTACGGCCACACCTTCAGAACCGTCCTCAAACCCCTGTACGATGAACTTACGGTGAGTTTTCGCGCGGGATTTGAGTTTTCGCGCGGGATTTGAGTTTTCGCGCGGGATTTGAGTTTTCGCGCGGGATTTTTTTCGTGCGGTTTGAGTTTTCGTTTGAGTTTCGTTTGGCGTTGGCAAAGGCGTTGTGTTCGTTTGCATCTTTTCGCTTTTAGACTGAATCTCTGTTGATTGGTCTTCCTGTTGGAGCGATGCAAATATCCGGTGTCGCCTTTCTATTCAGCTCTGACGTCATGGTTTCCATCGAAATGAGGCTAATCAGGGTTGAATGAGAACGAGAGCGAGAGAGAAGGAGAGAGAGAGAGAGAGAGAGAGAGAGAGAGAGAGAGAGAGAGAGAGAGAGAGAGAGAAGAGAGAGAGAGAGAGAGAGAGAGAGGAGGAGAGAGAGAGAGAGAGAGAGAAGAGAGAGAGAGAGAGAGAGAGAGAGAGAGGAGAGAGAGAGAGAGAGAGAGAGAGAGAGGAGAGAGGAGAAGAGAGAGAGAGAGAAATGAGGCTAATCAGGAGAGAACGAGAGAGAGAGAGAGTGAGAGAAGAGAGAGAGAGAGAGAGAGAGAGAGAGAGAAGAGAGAGAGAGAGAGAGAGAGAGAGAGAGAGAGAGAGAGAGAGAGAGAGAGAGAGAGAGAGAGAGAAAGGCAGACAGACAACAAAACAGATAAAAGAAAGGAAAAAAATATAGGTATTCATGCAAAAACTTTCTCAAAAAAGACATATAAGTATTTTATACAAAACCTTCCTCAAAGAGCCATAACACACAAAAAAATCCTCAGGTGTCTGGTGAGAACATCATAGGCGTCGCGGCGGGAGCAGAGGGCAGTCCTGTCATGGTGGTCGGAGCAGACTACGACACGCCCCTGCAAAGCTTGCCCCTGGAGGACAACGGCGCGGGCGTGGCTGCTCTCCTGGAGGTGGCGAGACACTACATGCACGAGACGGGCGCGGAGGGGTCGTTCGAGCGACTGAACACCGTCATTTTCGTCGCTTTCGACCTGAACGTCAAAGCCTATGTAAGTTCGGGACTACGTGAATGTGTGTGTTGGTTGTATCGCTGTCATTTCCCTTTTGTATAACTGGTGCTAATGGTGATGGTGATGATCAGTATTTTTATTAAAATTGTGATTATGATAATGGTTATTACTTTTGCTGTTATCATAATCATTACTATTCCTACTACTACTACTACCACTACTGTTACCACCACTAATATTACTACTGCTACTTGTATTACCATTATTGATATTATTATAATTATTAGTAATATTATTATAATCATTAGTAATATTGTTAGTATTACTATTATTATTATCATTATTATTATTATTTTTGTTGTTGTTATCATCATCATCATTACTGTTATTTTCATTATCAATATTATTACGATATACAAAATAAACATAAAGAGGACAAAGAAAATGGGACGAATGGAGAAAGGGAGAATGAGACAGAAGGAGAGAATAAAAATAAAAGGGGGGTTAGTGTCAAAAAAAAATAAAAAATACTTTCCAGATTACAGAAGTTACCCCTCTATCTTCCCACAGGGCAACAACCACCCTGGTAAGCCCGGGTCATACAACTTCCTCCATCAGTTTTTGTGGCCTTACATCAACGAGACGTCTAACAACTTCGCTGGTGCTATTATTCTCGACTCCATCAGCAAGTTTAGCACCAAGAGCAACTCTCAGTACGTTGTCCAGGAGTTCAGTGATGTAAGTTTTCTTCCGCCTTTTGAAGTCCGTTTTCTATGTTTTATGATTTTACTTTCTTGTATATCACGTTTTTTAAATTGTTTCGTTTCTAGTCGGCTATTTTTGGAGCTTAGTGTTTAGTTGACTCTGCTCAAATAACTCTAAATACTTTTGATATCTCATATGTACAGTATGCCTCTCTGTTAAACAAAAATTATGCTATGTTTAATTTTATCTTTGGAAATTCTGGATCATATTTCCCTACACTCGTAATATTCATTGCATGAGAGCAACTCTAACATCAACTATACATATAATAAAAAGAGATATTTATTGAAGTATCTGTTCAAATTATTCGTATCTATTCAAAATATTGATCTGTTCAAAATATTAAGGTATCTTCAAAATATTCGCATCTATTCAAAATATTGAGATATCGGTTCAAAATATTCGTATTCGTCCAGAACATTCGCATTTGTTCAAAATGTTCGTATTTCTCCAGAAAATTCGCATCTGTTCAAAATATCCGTATTTATTCAAAATATTTTCTCTCGCAGGCGTTCCCGAAAGCATCCTCGGCCATCGCTAATTCACACAACACGGGAGATTTCCTGGCCATGTTCACCAGGGAGGACTCGCGCAGCATCGGTTTGGCCAACAAGTTCACGGCCAACTACGAAAAGGTGAGTGAATAACCAAGCTGTTTTTTGTACGTTGCTTTTTTTCTATATATACTTCGTCTTTTGAAACTTGGGATCTTATTCATATTATCCTCCCATGTCTATTTCTTGAAACCAGCTCATAGCGACCGTAGTTGCTATGAGAGTTGCGTAGTGACGTAGAACCAATAGTATGAAGTTATGCAAAATTATTATTTTTCCTCTCTTTATTAATTTATGTATATATTTATTATTTTTTTATGTGTTCAAGTAAACTTTCCAAGTCGCTGAATTCGCGAATAAAAAAAAAAAAAAAAAAAAAAAAATCTCGTTTGTTTTTGCTGCAGGATCGCAAGGCCCAAATGTTCAGGCTGCAGTCCATGCCAGTGAGGGACGGGCTTTCCTTCGTCGGCGTCCTCGAGATGTTCAACCACCAGTCGCACTACCCCTTCTGGTCCTTCAGGCCCTCAGAGAAGCTCGTGCCCCTGCCTGCGCTGCTGCTCACTGACACAGGTTGGGGAAGCGCGGGTGACACACACACGCCAATATATTCCTCTTCTTTGGCTGTAGTTTTGTCCCATTCTTTAATGGGGTCGCTATATAATCTGGTTCGGGCAGATATTGTTTTTCTTTTATTATAATCGTTTTATTATATATATTTTTATGTGTCCTTCACACATATTCATTTTTGTACACATACGTATTTGTATATATATATATATATATATATATATATATAATATATATATATATATATATATATATACTATATATATACAAATATATATATATTATATATATATATATATATATATATATATATATATATATATATATATATGTGTGTGTGTGTGTGTGTGTGTGTGTGTGTGTTGTGTGTGTGTGTGTGTGTGCATATGTATGTACTTTATTATAAATATGTATATACGCATACACACACAGGTTACATTTTTTTCTTTCCTTTACATCCAGACGTGTACCGCATGTCCCAGGACGTCTGCGACAGGCCTTGCACCCCGGCCGCTTTCCTCACAAGGGGACGCGAAGCTTTCATCACCAAGACCATTGAAGCAGTCACCAATACCTTGCTCAACCTTCAGACTGAAAGTGCGTATATGTTTACGCTCTTTGTCTCTTCCAAATGAGATGCATGGAGAGTTTAACTTGTGTTGATTAATTTTTGATATCATGTCGAATTAATATCAACGTATCGTTATTATAGTATCTTTTAAAAGATTCAATAGTGTTAAAAATATGTTGAGAAGTACAGGTAATAGTAAGTCAACAGTCTCGAGTAACATAAACCCCCAATTCTTATTCTTTTCTTTCCTCAGGACTGCCTGTTACATCTGCCAGTGGGGGACTGGGAGTGACAACCCCCCTTTTCCTTATCGCTTGTGTTACTGTTATCAGCGGGATTATACGTTAAGCCATGTGATGACACAAAAGATAAAAGTAAAGATAATAACTTTCACGCCCGAGGCACCTCTGCAAGCTACAAGGGGTCTGTGGGAGAATGTGGTCTTTTATGATATATCTGAGGATGTATTTGCCTGTCTCCTCGCGTGCCTTTTGGCTGTGCGTGTGTGTGTGCGCGTGGCTATGTAAACCTGGTATGTGTGTGTGTGGATGAGTCTATTTGTGGGGGTGGATTTCTAAACGTTTCACCCAACCGTCATTTCGGCCTAGATTTTAAAAATTTAACCTAACTCGGAGGAACGATATGACCGGTTTGTCACTTTTCTGCAGTGGTTCTTAACCTTCTCTACTCTGTAGCCCCCTACCAATGTATGATCATCGTCCAGTATTTATCTTTCCAGATTCAGTTACTATTAGCTACGAAGAGTAGAATGTTGCCAAAGATTATAGTACAAGAACAATAAATAGAAAATTCCAGTTAATTGACATGTTAGAGATCATTCTCCGTAGATAGTATAGACAGGGGCGTCACTTCAACAATCATAGTGGGGGGGAGGGGGCAAATACCCCCCAATTAATGCCCCTGACTGTAGATGAGTCATAATTTCCATATTGCTCCATGGCCCCCAGGTTAGGTACCCATGCATACCTTCATTATCATTACTTGTTATTACTCTTACATGCTACTTTAATTCTGATATAAATGTTCTGAAACCATTATTAGCATTGCAATTTAAGGGTCCCGGCTTGTCATCAGCACATGGAATTTTAGTCTTGACATAGGTTAAAATGTCATTCAAGTGCGAATCTCTCCACATAAAATTATTCTTCATCAGAAGTGTCTATGCATTTTTTCTGACAATGTCTTCGGTTTGAATTATTTATTCATTCTGTTATGAATAAACTTACCGTGAAAGCCAGATATTAGTCAAGTTTCAGAAAAAAATGCCTACGTATACAAATAAAACAAAGTTATACTAAGAACTACTTATGTCATGTGATTATAACAAGTCATTTAATGATTATGCATACTTTCTTTTTTACTTGAGTAACTTATAAGCAAATTAAAGTAATAGTAAGGAATGACTACCATTGAAATATACTGCTAAAAGTGTACATAGAGATTATGATTAATATAACTGGACGAATTGTTCAGGTTAGTTGACCGGAAACACTACTTCCTACATGTATTATGCGAGTCTGTGTACTATGGGTGTATCTGTGTGCGTGTCTCTGTGCACTGAGGGTGTGTCTCTGCGTACGTGTGTCTGTGTACTGAGGGTTTGTGTGTGTGTGTGTGTGTGTGTATCTCTGTGGACTGAGAGTGTGTTTGTTTCTGTGTACTGAAGGTGTCTCTGTGTAGAGTTTTGTGTGTGTGTGTGTGTGTGTGTGTGCGTATCTCTGTGTACTGAGGATGTCTGTGGGTGCGTGTCTGTGTCTCTGCATCTGTACTTTTGAGTGTCTTTGTGTATTCTTGAATGTATATTCATGTTTTTTTCACGAAGAAAGGAATATGGAATCGAATTATGCAACGAAGAGATAACTTTATGTCTAGTTATAAATCTGGAACAGTAATGGCGGAGAAAATCTAATTTATGAAAATCAGTAGAATTAAGGATTAACTATTGTAAACATGATTCAAATTTTGCACTAAGTACAGCACCTGGTATAGATGAATGTAAATGTGCCTATGTTATATATAGATTAGTGTGTGGTTAGTTTTATAAGTGAATTTAATGAATAAGAGGTGACTTTAAAGATCTATGTATACAGCTTGTAAGATAAATAAAAATGCATGATAAATTAATGTATGATGTAAAACGGATGTTGCAGTAACATGAGGCAACATCAAATCCCATTTATTCATGGGCTATCATGTAATGCATATCATTATGAATAAATGTGTAAAATTAAATACTTCTCTCCATACTCTCCATTTATATGCAGAAATATATATCAATCCACATATACGCGATCACGAAAAGATACATAGATATTTAGAAGTGTGTTGACATTTATTTGAAATTAGAGTAAAGAAGGAATGTGTTCAGTTGAAAAAAAAATGTACTCAAACACTTTAATGTATATAACAGGCAGAACAAAATGTTATACAACATATTCCAGAGTAAAATTTCAGGTATTTTTATCCGTCAAATGTAATCCAATGGCTGATGGTTATTTAAGTCATTGTTTTTGAACAAGTAAAAGAATGTCCACTTAGTATTCTATATACTAAGAAGATAATGAGAAAAGATCAAACAAGTAACTTATTGCCTAAGCTGATGAAGTAATACCTACTAGTTAAAGTCTGTACAATGGTTTACAATCACTCAAACACAAATACCAAAGTAAATAATATGGTGTTGAATCTAGTAAATTTTCCATTCTCCGTAACACTTTTTTTCAGTTGTTCTAATTTAAATAATATTTAACTCAATTAATAAATAGAGGAGTTAGGAAAATCTTTTTTTACTGCACGACTGAAGGCTTGGCATTGAGCAGTTCCAAAAACCTCTCGTTTTGTCAGCGGAATAACAGAGAAACCGAGACAAGGCGGCAAAGAGCTCGCTGGTGTTGGGCATTTGCGTGCGCAGAAAGTTGGCGGTTTATTGGTAAAAGCGCCCAATCAGCAGAAGAAAGATGGTGGTGAAAAGCGATGGAAGTGATGCAGCCTCGCTACCGTTGTCAACTATATCTGATGGGGACACACAAAAAAAAAATGTAAATGAAAGAAACAAAACTAAAAATCATGAAAAAAAAAAAATCGTGCCAATATATCATATAGCAAGGAAAGCTACACCAATAGCAACGTCTCAATATATATATATATATATATATTATATATATATATATATATATATATATATATATATATATTATATATATATATATATATAATATATATATATATATATATATATATATATATTGCAATTGCTATTCTAATCTCTACACCCTGCCTATCCTCGCAGGCTCACAGCTGGTTTTAATTTACAATCACTCAAAGGCGTATACTTCTACACGGAAAATATTTTATACTTTATACGATTACATTACTCACCAGGCAAACGCGTAGTCTGACGGCGCAGAAGGGTACCAGTGAGTCCCTTGACGGTGGCGACGAGGAACTCCTCCCGTTCTTCCGTCAACCAGGCCTTAGCAGGGCAGACTTTAGATCCGCAAGGACTCTCAGGCATCTTTCGAAGTTTCTCTGTGTGGAGGGCGGGCGGCTTTATGAGGAAATTTGTTTAGGTTTCGATGAGGATCAATCTTCTTTTTTTTTTTTTTTTTTTTTTTACACACCCTTTTTTTGTCTCTGTTTATCTGACTGTCTGTCTCTGTCTGTCTCTGTCTCTCTCTCTGTCTCTGTCTCTCTCTCTCTCTCTCTCTCTCTCTCTCTCTCTCTCTCTCTCTCTCTCTCTCTCTCACACACACACACACTGACTCTCCCCTCCCACCTCTCTCTCCCCCCTCCTCCTTCTCTCCCTCTCAACATTCTCACCATCTGACCCCCACTCTCACTCTCCCTTTTAGACCTTCCTACATTACCTGTGTCACTAATCAGAACAGCCGGAAGGGGCATAGCTGTTCCGTTGACCTGGAATGACCAGAATTCAACGGTCTCCTGGGTGGTCAGTTCGGAGATGATCTGGTTCTGATGGAGTTTGGTAGGGAGCGTCATGTCCTCAAGGCGGAAGGGCCTCCTCCTGCGATCCTGCGGGAGAAATGTTTTGTAGGAAACAAGCATTGAGAATATGTGTATACATGTAAGTATATGTATGTGTATATATACATATGGATAAATAGACGTGTATATGTTTGAATATATATATACTTACAGATAGATATGCGTGTGTGTGTATATATATATATATATATATATATATATATATATATATATATATATATATGTATGTATGTATGTATATTATAATGTGTGCGTGTGCTCGCACAAGTATGTATGTGTGTATATATGTTTGAGTGTGTATGTATGCGATTGTGTGTGTGTGTGAAAGCGTGCGTGCATGTGTGTTTGTGCATGAGGGTATATGCATTTGAGTGTATATCATACATGTACAAACACACAAACACACAGACACACATATATGGAGATATGTACATGTGTGTGTGAGGAGAGAGAGAGAAGTGTGTGTATGTATATATATAGATAGATGTATTAGTCCCGATATAGAAGACGATTTTTTACATTCTAGT